TGGGGAAGGAGAAAATGAGCCGAGTAGAAGAATTAAGACTGAATTTTTAGTTCAGATGAATGGTGTGGGACATGATGACACTGGAATTTTAGTGCTCGCGGCAACGAATATTCCATGGGAATTGGATATGGCGATTAGGAGGCGATTTGAAAAGAGAATATACATACCACTTCCAGATAAACACGCAAGAGCAAAATTATTTGAATTAAATGTTGGAAATACGGAATGTAATTTTTATATGGAAGATGAACAAGGAAATAAAGTTCGTTATGACAAAGATCAAGTGTTTCTAACATTAAGTGAAAAAACAGAAGGGCATGTATTCTAGCGTGGCATTTATGTTTTTATATTACCGATGTGTACCCAATGTATACTAAAAATAAATATATATATATATGTATATATATATATATTTCAGGTATTCTGGTTCAGATATCTCGATTGTTGTCCGAGATGCTTTGATGTCACCTATACGTAAAGTTCAAACAGCAACACATTTCAGATGGGTATGTTGAAATCTTTTCATTTATACAAGTGTTTTACTGCAAACGTTTGTTAAGTATAATTATTTTATTATAAGACCAATGAGAAAAAAGAATATTTAGTTCCATGTTCGCCTGGAGCACCTGGAGCCATAGAAATGACATGGAAAGACGTTAAGTCTGAACAGTTACAGGAGCCGGATTTAACTTTAGAAGATTTAAACAAAGCAGCACTTTTTGTTAAACCGACTGTAAACTCTGAAGATCTTGGCAAATATATCAAGTTCACTGAAGATTTTGGTCAAGATGGCTAACATTAGGGTTGCGGCCAAAACCTTTTGTTTTAAATCATGACATTAACTACATAGGTTGGGTTTAGAAATTGGGGTTACTACTTCATTTGGGATAATAATCAAAACTATATATAGGTTCATTCTCACTCCAGTGTCAATTTTAAAAACCAATCGAATTTGTTAAATCAATGCTATAAATTATTAAACCTTTATTTTTATTTTCAATTAAGAATTTAAGAGGGATTTAGCAACTTAAACAGGGTATATTAAATAAAGTGATTATGTTAGATTTAATGATTACATATGTGAAATGAAAATAATTATCAATATAAAATTCGGATTTTAAATTTGAAGAAAAGTAAAACGACTTCCAGTTTTGAACCACACTAAGATAACAATTGAAACAACTTCCGGTATCATAGATTTGATTTTCATGTTTCATTTTCGCTATGGAAGGATTAATTATTCGAAATATTTTATTATCAAATTATCATTCATCGCCACCCACTAATACTGTAATAATGTGGATTGCTTCTGGTTTTCTGATCTTTCACCCTGATTGGTCAATCTAGTTGGAAAAATCGAATTATCGTTATTCAGATTTATTGTAAATTGATTAATGTAAATTTATTATGTCATACAATATATGAGCAATGCCAAGGGAAAACCAGACTTCAATTTATGTGATCGAAGTCTAGTCTTTCCTTGGCGTCACCATATACTATATAATATGAGTGACGAAAAGGGAAAACCTGTAATTCGAAAAATAGATTATTATGAATTTTATAATGGCCTATTTTTCGAATTACAGGTTTTCCCTTTTCGTCACTCAT